GGAGGGCATCATAGAATTTGACGGGCAAATTATAATACATAAGCATGAGATTACAAGTTCTTATTAAATTTTCAGGATAAGCAAATACTTTTTTTTAGGAAAAAGTTATGTTGGCTTCAACCGATGTGATACCTTAATAAGGGGGAGACGATGACTAACTCAATTGTCTTAGAAATTCCACATGATCGCACATGCTTGCCCAGATTGTCAACCTGTTCCAAAATCCAGGGAATATATTATTTTTGGATCTTAGAACAAATTGTTGCTACATGTGTTATGAAGATGATGAATGATTAAACTAGCCATACGAATCTTTTAAGAACGTTGTATCTATCTTGATAAGAGGAGTACGATTCGATCATCTTATGATGAATTAATAACTGTTCTTCCCTATGTAAATGTTCTATTTCAGTATGTAGGCTCATACGTAGGGGGAGCATGAATAATATTAGGGATTGTGGCATATACCTGTTGCCATCCTAAATCGGAAAGTCGAGCATCAAAGTAATCATAAGACTGAAGTAAACTGCGATCCTTTTCCATCGCAACATTATGAACTGCCTGGGCATGTCTCACCTGTAAAATTTGTATCAAGTTTCAAATGCTTGAAAAATGGAAACAGACAGCTACGAACTCAACGATATATACAAGCATCAGATCCAAATCCAAGAAAAATAAATCGCTGACTTCAAGAAGAGTGCAAGAGAGAAAAAAATTCGTCACAAACCAGATGAATAGTCTTACAACGGTGCAACGGATACAAACTGAGACCTCCTGCAGACTCCATATATCTACAAATCAACAAAACAGAGAACACAGACAATCAAACAACAACATCTCAGAAGTAAGGAGGGGAAAAGCCTTGGAAGTCGAGAAGACAAAGCAAAGAGCCGAAATAAATAGTGCAATTCTCATACGCAGAGTAGAATATAAACTAATTCGAGGCATCATGCTTCAGAAATACGAAATCAGAATCGGTCAAAACCGACAACAAATAACAATTAACAAAGAAGCTCCGAAAACAAGAAATCCACGTCAATAATCACAGCCATTCCATTCCGACCGGAATCAACCACATTTTACAATCTCTCTAGAAATTAAAAATAAAAAAAAAACTCCGCATTCAATGGCGACATCATACAGCAGAAGAACAAAGCCGTCAAAGTTCTTGAAGGAACAAAAATGTACGAAATAAAACAGAAAGAGTACGTAACCAAATTCCACCTGAAGAGAGCAGGAAGATGAGAAAACGGCGAAGGAAGAACGCAGCGATGGAGCTCGAAGACGGAGGGAACCGGGAGAATTGGCGCGCCAATAATTGGTACGGAGCGTTGATCTGGTTGGAGAACATGGCGAATAGCATGTACATTTATAATGTTTAGAACAGAGGCAGTGCGGTAAATTCAAAAGCGCGCGGTTTGAGCCATCTCAATAAATGCTCAATAATCATTTTCAATTTACTCTTTTATTAATATTTTAAAAAATGTAATTAATTTTTTAAATAAATATCTACGTATTTCATTATTTGTAAATATTAATAAATATACTAAACTAATATTATTTTCATCAAATTCAGTTTATATGAGTTTTTAAATTATTTTTCATCAAATTCAGCCCATACCCAAAAAGCTGTCATTCCAATCAGCAGAAATGTTCTCTTTGTTTTTTTCTGGAGAGAGAGAGAATCAGAAGAAAGTCCTGAACCGTAACGTACGCTACGGCCACGTCTGGAAGCACATTGAACCGTTAAATTGTCAGTTACCGTCACCGACATGTCGGCTTGCATGCAATTGCGGCCATTCACTGGACTAAGCGTGTCGAGAGTTGTTAGACACGTGTAACCCGATTATGCTTTTGGGCTTTTTCCCGTCGGCCCAATCATTTGTCTAGGCCCATTAATGGACACGTGTCTTCCAAATACGACTGTTTTGGATAAATTTCAACTACTCCATGATGTGACCATTAATTTAATAAGTTGAGACATTCAAAATATCTCATCTTATCTTAGTTTTTTAGTTGGATAGGGGAATATTTAGCTGTTAAGATGTAGATTTTTATAATTAAAAAAATACAGAATTCCAGGAGTTACGACAATAAAATGATTTAATATGTAGTGTTACGCCCCTAGGTCGTCACACACGTTCTTATTTTATCTCCATAATATTATTTGAACTTATAAACTTACCAAAAGAAAAAAAATTCGTCGATAAAAAATAAATAGCATTCGACGAAAGGGGAGCACATTGAGCAAGTAAGAGAAATTGGCCCTGCTCCGCTTTATTAAAAGCAAGGAAGTGACCTTTGGATGTTGTCGTGACGCTTTGGTTACAAAGGTTGGCGGGATTTGAATAAGCTGATTTAGAGAGAGATAACTTGGGCTTTAGACACTCGCCCTACTTCTAAATCTCGATAGAAATGGGGAGTGCCAGATGCAGAATCAGTTCCAGTCTCAGCTACTGGGTGGCATAGTGAGAGGTGAAAAGAATAACAAGCAGTAGTATATTCGGTTGTTTGTGATGGAATGATTCAAGCATCCGAGTAGATCCCGAGCAAATAGGCATTTAAAATATTTAAATAGGGAAGATTAAATGGGTTAGTTTATTGAAAAAAAAGAAGACAGAAATGAGCGAAGGTAATAATTAAAGAGACATTAATGCCTCACCAGACTATAAATTCATTTAAATATATATACCAGCCAGGCTCCACTTTCCAGAGATTCATGATTTCCTCTGCTAAATCATTAGGGTAATTATGACTACAAGTTTAATTATGTCTAATGGACTCATAATTTATTCGAGAAACTTAATTATTGTGCATAACAGAATGATGGATGAGATACAGACAAAAATAAGTACCTCTGAATCCAGTGCAGAAAGAGGCCTTTCCTTTGACAGTCCCTGTAGATAATAATTGTCCTAAATGAAGAGGGTAAGAGATTCGTGAAAATTGAATTAAAATAGAAGTGTCTTTGTTTCTTCTCAAAATGATGTTAAGTACTATATTTTCAAGCCCCATCTTCATTGGGAACTCCCTTCTTCTCCGGTTGCATTTCAGCTGCAACATCACTGGGAAGATCGAGCCCTTTCGGTAAGCTGCCGGGGAAATTGGTCGTCGAGGATTCTGACCCAACCATGCTGCAAATGATGAACAAAAAAAAAAAAAATGGAGTCAGCCCACCAAAGAATTCAACCTCGACTCCCCTCTACTAGAGAATCCATAAATTCCGATATGAATACTTGAGCGAAAGAAAGAGGTACAAAAGCAGGGGCACATCCAGAATTTCATGTCAGGGCCACAATTCCCTAAACTATAAAAAAAAAATGTCTCACCTATTCCAATTTTATATCTAATAGGGCTCTCGCACATTTAGAAAATCAAATGTTATATTAGATATTAAAAATGACTGTGTCTAACCGATACTATTGAACATATCAATTAACTATAAAATTGAAAATTTAAAGTTCGATTAAACACGAGTAATTTTATGGGTAAAAGTACGGTTAATTCTGTTGAAATTTTGTATTGAGGAATGTGCTTACCTCCTATCAACAAGAACAAAGGAACGAAGCTCACAGTTGGCAAAACTGCATAAAAAGGTGAAAAGTATTCGATTAGAACAACAAAATGATGAAATTTCAAGCGTTAGTATCAGATTCAGTAGAAAAAAACAATACGAATCCTATCACTATGATGGTATGGGCAATACTCCTCTAAAATCTCCATTTATACGAATCAGAGTAATGCTTACTGTTTGCAGATTTCGTCCTTTACTAGTGGACGGCAGTCATTTCCAAATGCACTCAATGAATGAAATAAGAATCCACTGTGGCTGACAACTGCAATCTCCTTCTCCTTCCGGGTCCAGAGCCTGGTCGGAGGAGAAAACCAAAAGATACAGAAATGGAGCTGTCAATGCTAAGTTACCCAAACGAATAATCACTTTTCTCACAGATATTGCATGCAATATGATATACAATAACACTAAATTCAAGCAGCAAAAAAGAACTACAGGAAGCTGTATCAAGCGCCACATAACGTACTCTAAGAAATATTCATTACACTGAAACTGAAAAGAACAAATAGAGACGAAAAGTTGTTTTAAGTTATCATGTCTTCTACTTTCCTTCGCTTTGTCCTATATTGAAAATAAAATAAAAAAAAGCATAGCAGGACATTGCAGATAAGACAGACACGACTTCTTCTAATGCTAGAAGACCATTGGAAGACACCCGAGACCAGAGCATGTTGTGAAAGAAGCACGCTAGTCGTGCTTCAACCATGTCTCCAGGACACAGTTGAATGTAGATATCATGAATGCAGGGGGCAGTAGGATACCAGGTCGAGAAACCCATGCAACTTTATATTTTCAATAATTGGTATCTTAATTTCGAAGTACCTCGTCTTCAAGAGATGAATTTTCAAAGAGCTATCGCACAGACATTTGATAGAAGAGAAAATAAAGAACCAAAAGAACATGGAGATAAATGAAGTAGACATTTACCATTTAAGAAACTTCAATCCCCTATCTGCCACTTCATCGTTGGTCTCTCTAGTGTCTGGTCTCCACAGTTTATCTTCATCATGTTCAATCTAGAAAAAGTAGCAAGGTTTTCATTAATAAAAATCAGTTAAATTCTAAGAGTAGATTGCAAAATAGAAACAAGAGTTGCAACATAATCCAGCAATATGGACAAAACAATGCAACTTGCCATTGAAAAATCAATCGCAGGGAAAAGAGACCGATACTCTTTAATGCTTCGCCTCTTGTCACATGGGTGAACACCCTGTACCAATGAATACAATGATTTGTTATATCTATTTTATTTTATTATGAAAGAACATCAATCTTTCATTGATAAACAAAAGAATATAAAAGGCATTCATAAAAATCAGCCGAACAAATGACATAAAACTAAAATTTGAGAGAATTCTTGAAGTTCATTCTTTAGCTAACGTCCTTTTCTCTAATTGTTGCCCATATGGAAGAATTTATAGAGTTAAAGACATGCATAAAATCCAAGAAGTTTCACTCAATATGAATGCAACAGGTTACTTCCCCACCAACAGTTGACATTTACAATAGAAAGGAAACACCATAGAACTCGTGAACATTCAAAATACAAATCCATGTTTCATTACAGCAAAGAAGTCTGCAAACTATCATTCATTATGAAGATAAAGAAAACTTTATTGAGAAGTCGGACTTGAATTTATAGAATATACCAAATGTTCCCGACAAAGCTCTACTGCCAAAAATGGCGGGCAATTCAAACTTGAAATTGCAGGGCGGTTGCAATCTCCTGCATTTGATACCATTAACGGAGGAACATTTATACCATCCGAGTAACCTTCACCACCAAATGCTCCAACCGCGGTTTGGATAGTCCTACATGCAACAATAACAGATGTTTGATTAGTAGGGGGCAAAACATGAAATTCTAGCATTTGGGTGCAAAAAGATTCATGCTAATTGACAACTTGGAATTTAAGAGGGCAAAATATTGAAACACAATCTGTCAAATTGCACAAAATCGTTCAAAAATCCGCCCTACATATTTAAACAAATATTCAAAAAACTTGCCTTATAGCTGAACTACACGGGACAAGACCTGAGTAAATTATCTGAGGTTCAAAACAAGAACTAAGGGGAAAACAATCTTTGGACATAATGATATCCAACAGATTCATAAATGGGCTAGGCATGTTACCAATCCCAATGTGCATCATTTAAGATTGGCAAAGGCTTTGTTATGCCTTTGCTCATATATTTTGGATACGATTCAGTTCCAGTTCCGCATCATTTTTCAGTGAGATGGTTCCCATGAAGAAACTCAAACTCCAGAAATCTCAATCATTAGTTCAAAATTTTTACATGTAGGAAAGGTTCATCCACCCCGCCACTTATAACTAAACCTGTTTCTTAAAAATAATATCCGTTTCTAGGATGAGATACCTGAATAAGGGGGACACAATGACTAACTCAATTCTCTTATCAAGTCCACATGATTGTACATGTTTCCGCAGATTGGCAACCTGTTTCAATTCCCAGTAAAAAATAAACACTCATTATCTATCAGTTCATTGAACTTGAGAAAACAAATTCCAGTTTCATGTTTGCTCAAGATTATAAACAATGAAATTAGCCATTTGTAACTTTTAGAATGTTGAATCAGTCATATGATAACAGAGTAAAATTTCATCACCACACTCAAATTCATAACTGAAATTCCCTACGTGTAAAGGTTCAATTCTCAAACGTAGGTTCACATTCGAAGTTGGAATAGTTATAGAGATTTTGGAAAAAAAAATAGTATAGATCAATAAGGGCTAACCTGTTTCCATCCAAGAGATGTAAGTTGAGCATCAAAGTAATCAAAAGATAGATATTCGTTCGCGTCCTTCTCTCCTGCCACATTATGAAATCCCTGGGCATGCCTCACCTGTAAATTTACTTATAATAAGGTTCAAATGCTTGGTGAATAGAAACAATAGATTCAAACTAATAAATAACAATAATCATAACCATTGAACTTAAATGGATATCGAAAGAAGAGAGCCACAGAGAGTATTTCGTTACAAACCAGATGAATGGTTTTAGTACGGTGAGATGGATACAAACTTATCCCCCCTGAAGCGTCCATTTCTGTAGATCAGAATAATTGCAAGTAAACAAGTGAAAACAAGGATTTGCCACGATCGAAAACGAAAACCACTTGCAGAAGCTAATAAGACGATCCAATTAAGCAAAGAAAAATACTGTTCATAATCAACCAGAACGACAACTAATTGCTTAATACACACAATCCCAAAATAATCGGCAACCATCCATTTCCAGAACTATCAAACACATTTTAGTCTCGATAAACCAAATCACAACATACAAAAAATAGTACATCGGATCAGCAACCCGAAATAATCGATGAAGAAACTTCAGGCAGAAAGCGTGGATTGATTGATCTACCTGAAAAGCGGGAAAAAGAACAAACAACGGAGGAAGAAGGTCGCGACGAGGCTGCACTCAAAGGAGGAGGAGGAGGAGGAGGCGAAAAGAGTCGTGTTGCAGAAGCAAATTGATTTGTGACACGTTTCTAAAAAGCGAGAAACAGAATAAACAATGAGGATATATAATAATATTCATCGCCATTACAGAGGCAACCGAAACAGAGTTGTTAAAGGCCGCGCGCCAACAACAGCGCGTGGATTGAGCCGTCCCAATGGAACCGAAACGAGAGAGGTTCTAAAATTGGCATTGGAATTCGCATAAATTTCTGAGAGCTTTGGAACTTGGCGAACGGGCGCCATGGCATTGGTTGCTGCTACTGCACCTCTGATCGTTCCATGTGAAGAGGAGGATATTGAACCATTGGTTTACGTTACACTGCGCGCTACGAGCCAATCCCATTAACCAAACTTGCCGGAGCAGTTGTCGGTAGTGGTCCAGTAGCTGACGTCGCTCCGATTCATTTTTTGGAATCCATTTTCGTCTCTTCTCTCTCAAGCGTCTTCATATGCGAATATTCGAACATAGGAGAAGAATGTAAATGGGATCTTCATATTTTTGGGCTTCTCAATAAATTGCCCAACTGACCCGCCCAAAATAAATGTTGTCCATTTGGACGGAGATAATATGCTTGGCCAGTAAACGAATTGGCTTAGCTCATTTGTCGTTGGAAAGTGAGTGACGCACAATTGCAAGTCTGCTGTCATTAAAAGTGCGATTGTGATAAGTGATCAACTCGTGAACTTCCTTTTAATTAGTTAATGTGTGACTACTCCTTTCAATAATCCTTAACAAGGGGTCGTGTGGATTCGCCAATAGAGGTTGAGGTTATGCAGAATGACACCATATATATTACGAAAACAAAAAAAATTGAGGGGTTATGCTGATCGACACCATATATATTACGAAAACAAAAAAACTGAGAGGTTATGTTCATTGACACCATATACATTATGAAAACAAAAAAATATATATATATATATATGTATCCCGTAAATAAAAGACCAAACAAAATTGTCCTGAAAAAAATTCAACTTTCAAGTAAGAAAAGTTATCAAACTAGACAACATTCAATGGTTCGACCTTCAATTTTACGTCTAATAAGTTCATGCATAAATTCATGCGTACGGGACAGATTAAATCTGTTCAAAACGCATGCTAAAAATGGGTGTTAGTTTTAAATGCATGGGTGAAGAAGGATAAATGAATGGGGGGGG